ATGAGAGGTTGGCAGGGAAAGGTTTGCTAAGGACAATTCCCATTTCCTGCTGCTCCTTCCCTGAAGTGATAGTGATTCATAGCTGCTCTGTCAAACACTGCTCAGCGGATCATCAGCAAAAATGCGTAGTTTCACCTGCTGGTTGCACCTCAGTCGTAGAGCTAAAATAAAAACTTTCTGTTTATTTTGGGAGTCTGTTTGGATTAGGGTTTGCATCAGGTGGATCCAGGTAAACATGCTGGCATTTCTCAGGAAGGCAACATGACCTTGAGGGATAGGGCAATCGGTTTTCAATTTTGCAGATTTATGGTCCCACTCAGTGCAACACAGACTGATAAGCCCCCAACAACAGTTAAGGTGTCCTGACCCTGGCTTTTCTGCTTTGTTCTAGGCCAGTGGCATGGGGGATGGTGGGGGGTGTTTGCAAGGCATGGGGTCAGTAGGGAGCATCAATAAATCAGTATTGGTACTCTTCTACATGGACAATCATCAAGCCAAGAGCACACTAAATATCAGAGTAGGAAATCACAGCTTTCCCTATGAGCATACCCCAAGCTATCAAGGAATCACATTAGACAATTCCTTCACCTAGAAACAGCACATTCAGAAGGTCAGCATTAAAGTCTCTGCATGGGGGTCTTCCTTAAGGTGTTTAGCCACCATGGTATGGTGTGCCAACTTCAAAGTGATCAGAACCACTGAATTTGTAATGGTGTACAACCTAGCAGATTACTGTGCTTCTGTATAATCCAGAAGTTGTCACCTAAAAAGCTTAACACTGTACTTTACAGTGCAAATAGACTTATAACACACTGCACAACTTGCACACACAAGAATGGTCTAGGGTATTAGACCAAGTAACAGAAGACAGACCCTAACCGTTGCACTGCTACCTGTTTTCTGGACCCTTGGAGATCCCAATGTGCCAGGCTCTGTGGCCTTGTGTGTTGCACTAAATTTAGATACAGGGTTGGGTGAATGGAAATGAAATGATTGTTCAGAGTAATCTGTTCTAAAATATATTATGATGGCATTTTATATGAACACCAAACAAGTTCCCATAGGGAAAGCTGTTACAATCTTGACAGAGAAACACGAGTGAAGCTGAACAGATTCAGATCTGGATACAGACACTTCCAAACAACATGGTACAAGATGAACATTTTGGACAGCTCCCTGTGTGAATGCAGGGTCCAGCAAATGGCACAGCACTTAGTCAAGAGCTGCAATCTTTACAAATGCCCAGATGGGATAGGTGGAATCCATACACTGAGCAATAATATTAAACAGTGGTTCAAAGCTGGATGCAGGGAACAAGGGTGGGGAGCAGGGGGTGTTAGAAGAAAGGGCTTCATCATCTCGTGTCACTGAGAGCCCAGAAGTGGGACTGGCCTGGTTCTCAGGCAGAACACATGAGCTCTGGCTGAGTCTACAGCACCTCCCTGGGAGTTGGAGGTGAGCAGGGTGCTGCAATGCTCCATGGGATGTTGGTGGAATGCGACCTACTGTAAATTGCAATGAGATGCAGTACAGATGTTTGTTATGGTGCTGTAACCTACAGCACTGAAATCTGATACTACATCCATCCAGGTTTATTTTAGAGTGGGATCCACCATTTTTCCAGCACTCTGTACCCTGTCCATCAGTTTTGTACAGCTGTAGAGTGCTTTCTACATGCCTACTGCACAATAAATGTAACTTTTGTACCTGGCCTCCATGATCAACTAACCCAGGAGAGAAATGAGTAATGAAATGAATTTTGCCTTAGAATTATATTATTTACAAAAAGATTTTAAAAATGCCACCTCTGAAGAATTCAGATTCTCACCCATGTCTTAAGTTCAAATAAATTAGTTTGTTTTGATAGAGGTATATGTATTTCACTGGCCTGTGAGAATAAATCCATGCACACTCATATGGACTGGCCGACAGAGGATTATCAGCAGAGTTCCAGCAGCTTCTGCTTCATGCTCTGTAACAGCTGACGTGCTTCTAACCCATCCTGCCAGCTATGCTGGAGTTCTAAGGGCACTGCTGTATGGTCGTGTCAAAGGAACAAACCATTACACACATTACAAGGCTGCCACTTGGTCTGGCACAGTTGGTAATCTCTACTCAGCAGAGGCACAACTGGAAAGGAGGCATTGCAGATCAGGACTAAGGTGCATAAGCAAAGCTGTGTATGAAGTCTGCACAGCACTTCCTTATACTGTTCCTAGCCTAACAGTCTTTTACTCCTTTTAAATGTATTGAATAAAAGCAATATTCTATTCAGTATGTGCAAAGTATTCTTTAGAGCAGTGATTCTCAGTCAGGGTGCCAGAGCATTGAGATACTTTCAGGGGTACCACAGGATACCAGGCAGTTAGGTGTGCAAACTTGTTTCACAAATCCAATGATCTCAAACAAGAAACCACAGTGCTAAAAACATTCTGACCTGTTGTGGTCTTTTTGAGTTCTTTGCCACAAAAAAAAATGCTGTATCATTTTTCTGAAGTCAAAAATGAGTGAAAACTAAGAGCTGGCATTTTCTGAGGAGTGCCTATAGCTTTGAGCCTTAAAAGGTTGAGAACCACTGCTTTAGAGTGAATAAAGTGTGAATCAGAACTGGCATTATCAGATTGACTAGTAGATCTATTCCCTTACTTTTACTGTATACCACTTTGGTTTGATGGCAGTACAGTTAGTTGCCACGTGTGAGACCAGAAGGCTCAGAGCTAGCTGTGTCTTTTTTCCTTGTAAATCTTCACTCATACAGGTAGTCCTGTTGTCTATTTGTGACTATTCATGATTGTGGAATTGGGATTCTTAAGAAGTCTTTCTCCTTTCTCCTATGCCATCCAAAGAATACGTGCATTCATGTGAACATGCTTTTCAGCTGCATTATGATCACTCACATAACTGAAAATGAAAAACCTACCACAAACCTTTATGAGCATTTACAAGCTGTATTAAAGGAATACTTTTGGAAATAACATTATAAAATATAGACTCTGAACATATGTTAATATAATTACTTCTAAACCATTGACATCGGCTTTGTCTTACCCTACTTTTTGCCTATGGCACATAGTAAAGTAAATTGGTTTTCTTTACATAAGGTGTGCAAGAGGGTGGATGCTTTTTAGGACTCTAGATAAATGGTTGCCTGTGAACACAGGGGAATGGCCTCAGAGGTGAAACTGGGCCCTTGAACCTAGCAGTGCCAGCAGCACAATACCTCTGCTCTTTTTGTGCTCTCCCCTCCCCTATCATTACACTACCAAATGGACTCAATGGCCCCAGAAGTCTCTTTCTTTCCTATATTCCTGATACAGTAGAACATGGTTCATTTGTTTCTGGATGGCTTGAAACCCACTTTGTTCATAAGGAGTTGCTGAATTAAAGATGAATCATTCAGCTATTTGCAGCAATTTTTATTTCAAAGGGCACTGCTTACACACATCTGGCATTCACTGGTGGTCCAATAAAGCTGATGGAAGAAGTTGTGCTTTATGAAGTAAAATCTTTCAATAATGGCTGGGACACTTCAGCAGTTTATTGTAGCTCCCTATATCCCTAGAAACTTAACACATCCTTGTCTTTGTAGGAAGGTAGGAATCCAGACCTGTGAAGAATGCAGCTCTTATTACATGAGCCTCCTACTTGTGGACGAGTACTGAACCATACCTGTGATGACCATGACATAAAGGGAAAAAAGGAGAAAAAAACTAAAAAATCAAATGAATAAAGTTTAATAAAAAATTATGAAAGTGAGAAAGAAGTCCACAAGCAGAGCCTCATATTCATCTTAACTTCAGCAAAACTTCTAATTCTTCAGGTGCATTTCTGTGTCTGTAACAATTGATCTTAAAGCTTATTTTGAATTGTGTATGGAACTGGCAGCACTTAGGCATCTAACTGCCTGATTTGCAGGTTGCTAGATGCAGCCTAAGTGCTATTAATTGTTTCTGCAATCAGTCACAGTAGCAAAATTGTGCTTGTCAAATTAGACCGACACCGAAAATCAAGCCCTCCTAGTGCAAGCAGGTTATTATTTTTCAGAAGAGCAATCTGTTTGTGAAGTGACTATTTGGCAACATGATGATCTTTGGAAGAAAATTTGACTGATCATATTCAACTTTTTATCTGACTCCCCCTCTGAAAAGATTAAAGCAGCGTAAAGGTCAAAGATTCCAGATTAAATTCCTAATAACCCATGACTGTTACTGTTGCATTTTTACCCTCCTGGGAATAATGCTATGCATCTTTCCTCTTCTAAAGGGAAAAAAGGAAGGAACCAATCCCTTGTGGTTTCCTGTGAATCATTACACATTTATGATGAATGTGACATTGAAGTTCTATACTTTTTATGGTACACAAAAGAAAAAAAATGTAAGCTGTAAAATGTTGCTTTAAAAATGTGTTAAAAACAGTGTTCTGACACTTTACTGCACAATGAGCTCTTACATTAAGCATTTATGGCAGCTACAAATTCACAGCATGGTTTTGATGCAGTAATAAAGAAAAAAAACCCAAAATGGGTCCAACTGACATTTTACAGCTGGAACAAAGGGTTGAAAGTGTAGGGCTTATCTGCAACCGCTGTATATTACATATTAGCCCCCTTATCAACAGCTAAACTGAATATTACCCACCTTAAAGAAGCCTAAGTCAGTAAGTTATTAGTAAATTAGGTCCTTCAATCATGCTGAAGGTCAAAGAACATGAAATTATATTGTACCTACTAAGTGAGGGCCAAAATCTGCTTTAATGTACGTTCCAAAGTCAAGAGAGTTGAGGAGGCTATGAATCAGGGCACAGTTTGGCCCTCACAATAATTAATGCTGAGCAAAAATTGAACACATTTAGAATTATACCATGAATCCACAATCCATTATGGTATAAGACTGCCGCTCAAGAACCACAGGGCTACGCAGCAGCATGACAGAGGCAAAGAAAACTCAGACCACTTTAGGGGCTTTCTTCAATCAAAAATGATTTGCATGGACATTCTGCAGTTTTCCTGTGGGCCTTGGGGAAAATACTGTAGGAATGCCTTTGATGCACTTGATTAGGCAACAAGTTCTCAACCTTGTAGGCTTAGTCAGATCTTCTCATGCTTAAATACAGATAATTAGTCTCAGTTTTGCTTTCTCTCTCTCTAACACTCATTTTTATTTTTCATTCCCCCCCTCCCTTACTGTATTCTTCAGTAATATTGAGCAGTTTTACATGTTGGCTTTATGATAGTTTGTCCAGACTTCATCCAGCATAGTTGCTTAACATACATTTGTCATTTGGAAGCTAAGATGATTGCATCATTAAAGGATGACTTTAATTATGGAGCAAGGGATTTTAAACCTCCTGTAGCCTCTTGTGCAAAGATTAGGAGGCAGTAGGAATCAATCCCTCCTTGCTCTCACTTCCCTAAAGCCGAAGGAATTGTGCTACATATACATTTGATAGATACATTACATTGTATTCTGGTCCACATATGTATTATACAGGGATGGTTAATGCACACAAATTATTTGGATTGCTAGAAGTAGCAATAAGCTAGCTCGAGTCACAAGTACTGCCAGTACTCAGAACTTGAAAACTCAGACCATATATTTTGAGATGTAATTACTTGAGTTTGAACTTTGTGGACCATAAACCTGTGAAAAATGTGTCGCTTCTATAATTTGGGATTTCCAGAAAATACTTTTTAGGATCTAAGAGCCCAGATGAATGATCAGGGGCCTGGGAAGCAAGACTTATGAGAATTCAGGAGAAGAGAAGACTTTGGGGACATTTGAGAACAGTCTTCAAATACCTGAACGGCAATTACAGAAAGAATGGAGATGGGCTTTTCTCTGTGACCATAGAGGACAGAACTAGGCACAATAGCCTCAAGCTGCAGCAAAGGAAATTTAAATTGGACCTTAGGAGGAACTTTCTGACTTTGAGGTGGTCAAGCACTGAAACAGGCTACCTAGAGAAACAGTGGAATCGCCATCCCTGGAAGTTTTCAAGAGCAGATTGAACAGACACCTGACTGATATCATTTAGTCAGGGATGTTCCTGCCTTGAGCAGGGGGCTGAACTAGATGAACTTGTGAGGTCCCTTCCAGCCCTACTTTCTCATGATCCTGTTTAGTTCAACCAGATATCTGTGGGATACTAGACAAGTCAACTGAAGCCTAACTTTCAGCAATGCTGAGTATCCAAAAGTAGCCTCACTAAAGTAAAAGAGAGCTCCAGGATGTTCTTCTCTCAATTTCTGTGTCTGGGTAACAGTGCCTCACATATAAAAGGGTGTTGGCTCAATTTGCACCTGGGCAGAGGTTTGAACTGTTGCTTCAGAAACAGAAAATGGCCCAGTGATGAAAGATTCTGCATCTGAAAACTAGGAGATTGTGGTTTTTGTTACCAGCTTAGTTATCATGTGGCTTAGGATGCAACCATGGACAAATTAGTTAAACTTGCTACAGAGTTGGTGTTAGGAATGAGAAATCCAGGCACTTGTCTGGGGTGCAGGTCATGGGATCCCCACCATGCTAAGCTAACACATATCATAAAACATCCCGGTGGGAAGATGAAACAACCAATGCCTTAGTGTCTACCCTGTGCTCCTATGAGTTTAACTCCAGCTCCTTCTTTTGGTACTCCAGTTTCCCTGTCCATAAAATGGGAAGAAGAATTTTTATTACTATCTCCAAGGAGTGGTAGAAAATTAACTTCATCAGCACCTGAGAATCACTTTTTCCACTTTTGCCTGGGAGATGCCATATAAAAGCAAAATATATAAAATAGTTTACTGGTAGAGTGGTTTACTGGTAGAGAGTACCTGCCACTATGGCTGTTTCTGTACATGTATGGAAGTAAGAAAGAATCACAGAAAGGTTAAAACATCTGGCATGACAGTGTCTGAGTGATTTTTTTTTATAATGCAATTTTAAAGACACTTGTACACAATTGTATGTTAATTTTGCGTCAAAGAGTACATCATAAGGAGCAAGTAAAATGAAGTATAGTGTTCATGCTTGTTATGTATGTTGTAATGTGGAGGTATAAGAACCACAGTCTAAAGTACTACCTCTGATCACCCTAACCTTTTCTCTTAGACACCAACACTGGCACAGGTTAAAAAAAATACTGCTAGTTGTGTTCCGCTCTGATGCTCCAGTTCAAAATGGCTTTCTGTCTCACTCCAATGGTTTCATGGAGGTGGGGATTGATCTGTGAATCTCTTGCATGATATGTCTGAAATATTTATCTGAGGTTGAACTGTCAGGTGGTGTCCAACTCACTCATTACTAGGCAGCAGAGGGAGGCAGGGCTGTCAGGAAGTTATCATTTTCATAAGATATGGCTCTGTTTTGATTTTTATGGACAGCAGCTTCTATGCTTTGTTACACTTTGCAGCTGAAAGAGCTAGTTGCGAGGCACTTGATTTAAGCACTGAAAATGGTAAACTAAAGGCAACAGTGAATTACATCCTGAAGCTGTTAAAAGCTTTGTGGTTACCTTAGCATTTTTAACTTTTCTTTTTGTTTCTTTCTTGCACCCTTTGTTTTCTTTGTTTTGTTTTTTTTCTTCTATTTTAATGGGGTTTTTCTGACATTTCCCTTTTCCTAATTCCCTTTGCCATTAGGTTTTCCTCCCTCATTGTGCTAAGGAATGGTTTACAGCCTGATTTAATTGGTGCCTGATAAATGACCTGTATTTCATTTCTTGATGGGAATACTCCACTGATCTCCCTTAGCTCAGTGAAGCATGCCTTGGGGGTGCTACAAGGTTTGCTATGATCAAAGAATCAAGAAAATTCTCATGGTGCAACTATGCACCAGTAAACATTTCCCTTGCCTTCCTTACCTTGTAAATTCAGCTCTGTTGTAGATTATTTAACAAGAAATAAAGTATCAGACAAAATAAGACATGTCAATGTCCCTATTGTCCTCACTTTTTCCATGCCAACACTATGCTGAAATATGACACTTGGTTCCATTTTGTGAGAACCTCTTACTGTACACAACCCAGACCAATGGGTTTCATTATATTGTGGCTCCCTGGAAACTGACAGACATTTTTACATTATACAAACTACCTAAAATTGTAGTCCTTATATGTTTCCATTGTCTGAAAGGCACATCTTATAACTGTGGGAATAGGAATGTTATCTTTTGGTCAAATGACTGTGTGCTGAAGCATGACCCAATTTCCAGTTTAATGCAAGTCCTATTTTGGGGTTGTGAAGGAAAAAAAAATGCCTATTGCCTTTGAAATGCTTATTTCAGTTTTATTAAAAAGAACTGTTGATGGCAAGTTATGGGATGCTATAAAATTGAAACTACTTTATTTAAAAGCATTCTCACTTGTGCAATGACACAAAGGTTTTGGCTTTGTAGCTATGAGGGCCCTGTCTGAGGTGATTTTTTGCTGGCGGTTCTTCATTTGCAGATATTTTCTATGCTTGCTATAAAAGAAAGTCTTGCCACTTTTTACATTTTGATAATTAATCTTTAATACTGCACCATACCAATTAACTATGAACTATTAGAAAAATAATAAGCTATGAATCATCAGCTACAAGCAGGGAGCTACTTTAATAGTCAAAAGATGAAGCATTCCTTATATATACTCCACATCAAAACAAGTAGAGCCATAGTTAAAAAGAGTCTACCACACATCCCCCATGGGGTCTGAAAACAGTTAATGTATCTTCTTCTGTTATTTATCTGATAATACATATAATGAAAAGAGGGCTGAGTCTTGAAATCCTTATTCACATGAGTATCTTTAATTCCTACTAGCAGCCCCATTGGGCTGTAAGCATGTGGAAAACATGGTTAATCCACAGTATACATGCAAGGTACAAGTACAATCTTTTGGAAAATGCATGCAAATAAAGGGTCTACTTTTGCAAGCTCTTACGCAGGTGGGAAGTACTCCTGCACAGGGATTTCAGAGAAATTACCTGGGACATACTTGTTCTACTAAGAGTCAGTCTGGACCCCTGGAAACATACCTGTACAGAACTGAATCTTTAAATAGTCTGTGATTTCTACAGGACTGCTTAGGTGCCTAAAGTTTAACAAGGTGATATACTTTGCTGAGCCCAGTGTCTAGCACTGTACAAGTCTGAATCCACAATTAGTCAATCATTAGGGTGAAATGCTGCCACAGTGTATGAGTCTACATGAGACAATTTACTATGCAGCAGACTAATCTACTGAACCGTAAAGAATTACTGTCTACATGTGCTCACCATTTACTGCACAGTTACCTACTACCTGTAAATACAGGTAGTAAACTTACTGTGCAGTAGCACATGTGTAGACACTGACAGGGAGCAAATTTGCTTCCAGTCAACCCCAACACTAGGGGGCCACAGTGGATGGGGAACTCCTCCAGTCCTGGCACTGCTTAGCTTCCTGACTCCCCACAGGAGCTGGGAACCGAGCAGCACTAGGACTGGGGAGCTCTCTGCTTCTCTACAAAGCTGGGGGCTGGCTGAGAGCTCTTCCACTTCTGGCCCAGTTCCCAGCCAGCCCTGGGTGAGGCTGGGATTTCCCCATGCAGCTAAGAGTTGGCTGGGGTTGTCCCACTTGAGGATGAAGACTGCTGCTGCATTTTGAAGACTTTTTAGTTAGTGCACTCTTTCCTGAATACAGTTAATTATATTAATCTAGCCTGGAAAAAATGAGATCTGATAGATGCTGGCATTGGAACTTACTGCTACTAACACTTTAGTTAAACAATGGAAATTTGCTGTTGATAGAAAGATGTGTTTTGCTGAAATACAGAGTGTGGAAAAAACAGAAAAAAAATATTGTTAATTTTTATCAAAGCCATTAAAAGTAGGCTGCCAAACTGTTCTTTTCCTAAATCCAGGGCATTGTAATAAAAGAAAACATCCAGGAAATTCCACTGTTATGCAGGAATGTATGTATGTATATATAGTCATATTTAAAAGCCATATTTTTTTGATAAACCCAAATCCTATTAGTTTAAACAGGGGTAAAGTACACACTACCTCATGCATTTACTGGTAACCTAGCGGTGTAATAACTGTATAGCTGAACAGATTAAAACCTGAACACATGCACACATTCACCCTTGTGAATTCAGAGCTAAGGAAAGTCTGATTAAACTCAATGGTAAAACAGTCCAGAAAAAAAATTGTTAACCCCCCCCCCC